TCTCTCTCTCTCTCTCTCTCTCTCTCTCTCTCTTCTCTCTCTCTCTCTCTCTCCCTCTCTCTCTCTCTCTCTCTCTCTCTCTCTCTCTCTCTCTCTCTCTCTCTCTCTCTCTCTCTCTCTCTCTCTCTCTCTCTCTCTCCCTCTCCCTCTCCTCTCCCTCTCCCTCTCCTCTCTCTCTCTCTCTCTCTCTCTCTCTCTCTCTCTCTCTCTCTCTCTCTCCCTCTCTCTCTCTCTCTTACACACATTTCTTTGGTCTTGCAATGGGACTGCTAATGATGCATCTTCAATGAGGTTCAAGATAATCGGAAATGATCATATTCAAGGCTCATATAATTAATCACTGCCAGCCACAAGCATTAAAATGACAACAATCAGTCAGTGATAAAAATACTAAACAAACAGATAAGTGATCAGTAATAACAATAACTATATCAGATAAAAATAGAAGAGACAAAGACAGAACAAAAAAAAAAGAAAAAAAAAGAGAGAATAGGAACCAGACGTAAAAGCCAGAAATTACAATATAAAAATAGACATAAAATACATTAATTTATGGAAAGGTTCCTGGATGTAATTTTTTTTTTCTTTCAGTCGAACGAGAATATTCAAATTTTAAACAGTTTCCTTGTGTTAATTCTCTTGTATTCATTAGTTGATTGTTAACGAGATGTTGTTTCTGGCTAATGATGGGGCTTGACATTGTTTTGGGGGCAAGAAAGATTTGTTTTGCGTATGGAAAAGGTGTTTTAGTTTGAGTTACTGATACATCTTGCTTTCGTATTTTTATTATTTTTCTATTTTTTACTTTTTTTAATTTCCATTTTTCTTTCCTTTCTTTCTTTTTCGGCATTTTTTTTTTTTTTTAGCGTGCGTTAAGAATAAGAAAAAATAAAGACGCTGTGTTTTTGGGAAAAGGTGTTTTAGTTTGAGTTACTGATACATCTTGCTTTCGTATTTTTTTATTATCTTCCTTTTTTACGTTTTTTAATTTCCATTTTGTCTTTCCTTTCTTTCTTTCTTATTCGTTCTTTTTTTTTAAGCGTGGTAAGCAAATAAGAAAAAAAAAATAAAGACGCTGATGTTTTTGGGGAAAAGGTGTTTTTAGTTTGAGTTACTGATACATCTTGCTTTCGTTATTTTTATTATTTTCCTTTTTTTACTTTTTTATTTTCCATTTTTCTTTCTTTTTTCGGCATTTTTTTTAGCGCGTGTAAGAAGAAGAATTAAAAAAAAGACGCAGTGTTTTTGCGGGAATGTCGTGTACGTTCCGGATAAGATGCACTGCCTGTTACGAATAAATGATGGTTTGTTCGAAGCTTGTTTCGGATTACTCGAGGCTTCGCGCACCCTGTCCACGGTCGAGTTATTGGGCCATTTCTTGTCCTTTTTCCCTGTCGAGCATCGTCGAAAGAACGAGCGAGAAGATCGACCGACACGCGATAGAACGAGGGCGTCGAGGGCCAAGGGAGCTCGTGAGGGCAGCCGCTCGTTTGGCGGGATTTGTCGGTCGCGTTTGGGCGGTGGTTGGGGGCTCTTTGGCCTCGGGGCGTTTAAGATACGTACACACATACATCACGCATGGATACATACAAACACACACACATGTAGTATACGTATATGTATGTATGTGCTGTATAACTATACTTAATCTCTTCTACATTCTCTCTCCTCTCTCTTCTGTCGTCTGTCTGTCTTGTCTGTACTGCTGTCTTCTTCTCTCTCTCTCTCTCTCTTTTTCTTTCTCTTCCTCTCTCCCTCTCCCTCTCCCCCTTCCTCCCTCTCTCTCGGACTCTCTCTCTCTGCTCATCCTCTCATCTCTCTCTCTCTCTTCTCTCTCTCTCTCTCTCTCTTCTCCTGCTGTCTTCCTCCCTCTCTCTACTCTCTCTCTCTCTCTCTACGCTCTCTCTCTCTCTCTGCTCTCTCTCTCTCCTGCTCTCTCTCTCTCCCTTCCCCCCCCCTACTCTCCTCTCTTTCTCTCGTGACTCTCGGTCTCTCTCTTCTCTCCTCTCTCTCTCTTCTCTCTCTCTCTCTCTCTCATACCATCTCTCTCTCTTCTCGCTTCTCCCTCTCCCTCTCCCTCTCCACTGTGCCCCTCGCTCACCTCCGGCCTCCCTCACCTCCCTCCTCCTCTCCTTTAATTTATCCTACTCTCCGCGACAGCTTCCCCACCCGCCCCCCCCGCCGTTCTCTTTCTCTTGCGCGTGCTTAATTTAATCATTCTCCCCGTACGAGGCCGGCACGACCGCCTAATGCAGCAGACGAGAGAGTAAGCAAGCAGCGACGGAGAGGCACTTGACCTGCGCCGCGTGAGTGTGTGTAACTGACGACCGACTTTCGATTAACTTTTGATTAACCACTATGCCTTCGCTCGCCGGCGACGAGGTCACACGTGAGCGGCATTAGGATCCAGGTGGCGTCGACGCTGGCCCGAACTGAACCGAGCTCCGGTTGCCAGCCCGTTCTCGCCAATTTGGAAGGCTTCGGGAACGGAAAAAATGCAAATTATGTTTCTCGGACGAGTCATGGTAGGGTGGACCGGCTATTGGGAGG